AAAAAAAAAAAAAAAAATTCAACGCTTGATAAATATTCAGGGAGCGTCCTCTAAAACAGCCCCATGACGCAGAGCGCTCCCTACTCGTTACCAGTTTTCCGCGCAACCTTGGAAAGGCCAATATTGGCCAATATAGTGTACATCTAGTAAAATCTATTTTAGTATTTAATCAACTTTTACAGGACATCCTATCTTGCTGGCTATTTCGTAGAAAGCTTGATAAGGAAACAAGAAGAGTTAAATATTGTTGAAAACGACGTGTTATGCGTCAAAATTGCCGGCCTTTGTCATGACTTGGGTGAGTAACTGAAGCTTTAAACAGACCTCTTCACCTTGGACGTAATGTTTTTCCCATTTCAGACCACGTGTCATTCCTTTGAGAATGAGATTCTTTGTTTAAGTCATATCGATATTCATGTGTCTTCTCATGTGCAACCATTTAACAAAAAAATGATACTCTAGGGAACAACACGTGGTTTGAAATGGAAAAAACATTACGCCCAAAGTAATTATAAAAAGGTCTATTACTCCACAGTTTTGAATATAACATTGTTGATCATTGCTAGCTGCTATTCCAAACAATCGATTGCGATTAATACAAAATATATATAAAGTAATCCCTTTGCGCTTGCGTACAAAGAAGCACGTCTTCCTAGAATTCAAGAGCGCATGACAAGAAATGCTTGATGCTTGAAATGCTACTTTTCGGTTTACCATCTATATTATTTAAAAAACAATTCTGAAGCCGTCTAATGAACTCACAGTGGTTCGCTTTATCAGAAAAAACACAAACACAAACAAACACTCCTGCTTGTTTACTAAACTGCACGTAATATACTTGGTACTTTGTCAGGGCATGGACCGTTTTCCCATATGTTTGACAACCATTTTATTCCTAAAGTGAAACCTGGACTGAAGTGGTCGGTAAGTGTAAAAGTGACCAAGTTCACTCGTTGTATATTCAACTGTTTTATTTGTGATAAAACAATTACTAAATACAGTACTTAAAGTGCTAGTCTTACGAAAATGACACCATCCCTGGAAATTGTACCATATAAAACTATATATGTAATATAGCTTACCGTCCAAATTCTTTTTCGATACGAGACTGGGAAGATGTTTTATTTAGCCGGTAAAGTTTGGCCGTTTGAGTCCGCCATTAAGCGATTGCGTTCCTGGCAACTTTTAGTGATTCGAAGGAAGTGACGTCATACGCGCCCTTCAAAATTCGCGGTTTTTCACAATGTATAATTGCAACCAAATTTCGACTATTTTTGATTTAAAAACAAGCCTTAAACCAAGAGGATGCTGTAGAGTCAGCGTGGATAAAAAGGATGCCAGTTGCGCGTATGACGTCACTCATAAATTAAAATGCAACGACAAAATCGCTGCCCATAGAAATGGCGGACGAGCTTTTAACAATTTTCGGAAGCAGAATTCAGACGGGGAAAGTTTCTTTTTCGAACCAATCGTTGTTTATTGGTGAACATTATAACCTATTTGAGCGTATAGAAAATCGGGGATTTTTTTACGTCATTAATAATTTCGTAAGACTATAGCACTTTAAGTTGGTAGAAAAAGGCGGTAAAGTACAGCACAGCTAGAAAGAATCAAATACATTTTCTTAAGGTAATTCCCTTGTTTTGCACTGCGCATTTTTCTGCGCATGCAACTAAAAGCATGGAACTAACGAAGTTTAGGCATTTTTCTTTCGGAAACTAAATAAAAAACATGTTCCAAGCCAATTTTCACTTTTTTTCTCTTTTTTGAGTAGAGAAATTACGATTTTTATCTGACTCGCCCCAGTCTCCACTCAGAAAAGTGTCAGTTTTCGACTATTTAGAGGTGTTTTTTCAAGATAAATCAAAAACAAGAATGGTGACCCCCATTTTTTATTTCAGATTTTTGATAAATGCAATGCTCGTTATTATATATCAAAATATGAAGGAAAGATTATTGGATAGATTTTAAAATATTTTGATGGGAATAGTTGACACGTGCAATTTTTGGACGTTCGTAGAGGTGCACATACCTGCATTTTTCAGTAATAGTTCAAGAATTATAGTCATCTAATAACTTTGATGGATTTGATAGTATAGATTATCTAGTAAACTTCGAGTTATAAGTACGTTTTGCTTTGTGAAAGCACCTTTAACGGTAAATCAAGGTTCTTGATTACAGCTTCCGGTTGCTACCGCATTTCACTATAAAACCCATAAATTGACATATTTGGAGAGCATCTAGCGAAAAAACGAGAATGGTGACCCCATCTTTTTATTGCAGTTTTTAAATGTCCATAACATAATTAATGTCCATGCAAGATTTTAGGACAAAGTTATTGGCAAAATTTCTTTCAAGGGAATTACCTTAATTTTTATACTTGACTGAGTACAGCTTGTGTGCTTGACTAAGTAGTATTATTATCGAAATAATTGAACCACAAGCACTGTAATTCTAGCTAATTACTTGCACAAATCCTCCACTTAAATGATTACAACTTCACGATAAACAATGATAAATGATTCCTAATACATGAGATACAACTGATTGAAAGAATTGTATCAACATGAAATATACAAGGTCATTAAACTCACAATAATTTATAGTGACCTTGACTACAACAGCGAAAAAAAAAAAGATTGTGATATGTACCGAAGACAATGCAAAACAATCTAAAGTGCATATAAATAGTCTTTACATATTGCTAACTACTGTAAATATATAAAATGAGAAAAATTTCACTTACCACAAGATTGTAGTTACTTTAGCCTTGTATTCAATATACCGAATGACTCAACTAAAATTATGGTTCTCAAGTAAGACCATGAGGTCTACTGTGATTGACAGTTGTCAAATATAATTTTCTGATTGGTTAATAAATTTGATAATGCAAACAATAAAATGCTAATCATTTACATGGCCACATAAACTATTATTCATTTGATAATATTCAGTTATAATTTTACTATTACACCGTTCATGTAGGAAGTGGTTGCTCGGTCGAAGGCTCAGGACTAGCCTGGGAGTCGCTATTTATCCAATTAGAAATTAGAAGTTGATAAGATTAGGAAAAAAACCCCTAAAGTATTCTATTTTCAGCGGTCTCACTGTACTCTTATTTTAACAATGGGAGTAGACCTGGCAGAGCTCTCCAAAGAAACACGACAATATTCAAGAGGGTTGAGAAGGTTGTTAAGAAAATAGACTGGGAGAGCAACCTGCAGGTCCGGGGGAGTACAGCGAGGGTACTAAAATACGACTAGAAGTGCGCTAAATAACATCTGGCCTTAGCGGATTTGAAGTGGCAGAACAATAAAATCCCTTTGCTCTTGGGAATTGAATTCTTTCTCATGTAAAACAATCTTATTGTTCCTGCCATCTAACATGGCTGCCGTTACGTGATGGTGCAAAATCTCTATAGAATAAGCTATACTTACGGTGCTGTTTAGACTATTAGACCACAATTCACTCTGTTTATTGAAATCTGCTAATTTTTTGCCCGTCAGTAGCTCTGCCCATGGCATTTTTTGGTCCAAAGCTCTATTCTTTTGATCCTGGCCCCAACAACCCCAGTTATCTGATCTCTGAAATTTGTATTCATTTTCAGCATGAGAAAGCCAGTGAAGAAATGTTTGACGATCTCATTGAATCGAATGAAAATGTTAAGAAAATGTTTGAAGACTGCGAACTCGGTGACAAAGACAAATGTTTTATCAAGAAATTAATGACTGGTGAAAAACCAAATTCTGAAAAGGTATGATGACAAATAAAACCACTGATTAGATCAAGCGTATCGAACAAGCCCAGCCATTAATCATTATTACTATTATTATGGCAAGTTTTATTTGTCTGTATATATCATGTTTACATTGACCAGCGGACTAAGTCTAG